TTTTTTTTTTTTTTTTTAGAAAAGGAGAAATTTTATTCCAGAAAAATGCAGAAATTACAAGAAGCAAAGCAGTACTGTTTAAAGAAAAAATCAGTAACTGTAAAACAAATTACAAAGAAAAACTATATAAGGATAAAAAAGTAATTTTGCAACATGTTCCTATATATAGTCTTCTTTTCCTGGTAATCATCCTCTTCCAGACCAGCATTAGGAGCTGTAAGAATCCATTCCCAGCTTTGAGCATGAAAAATGCACCTAAGCTGGAAGTCCCATCTTGAAGACCAACCGTCTGCCATCCTTCCTTCAATTCCATTACTATGCAAAGAATCCAAACAGTCTGCCCAGGTCAGCCCAGATACATGCACAGCACTTAATAACTCAAAAACATCCCCTCTGAATACCAGATGCAATGTAGGGAAGCTCCATCATCCATATTTCTACTATAAAAGAGAAGGAAGTACATTCCTCCTATCAATCCAAAATGAAGCGTAAAAGAGAGCAGGATGATAGGAGAAAGTCTGATCAACCACCCTCCAAAGTCAACAAGAGAAGTTCAGAAGATAGTCCAAGAGGAAGAAGGGATAATCAGGAAAATCCAGAAATGGAAATTCTGATTATACTGCTGATAGAACATCTCAAACGTTTGCTGGAAATAGAAAGGCAAAGCCAGCAATCCAAAGAAGCAAAGTGAGAAAGGATCCACTGACCTCCAAAATTTCTGCATTATGTAATTTCATTAGATTGAAATAGTATGAATTTGCAAATTCTGATGGCTATTCAGAATCTGTTTGGCAATTTTCTTCTACAATCCCATCTCATCAGCTGATTCCATAGGAAGAAATATTAACCAATACCTTGCTTTTGACCACAATTCATTTTCATTAATCTGGCAGAAGGCAATCCACTCTGATCATGTTGCATAATAACTTTCCCAGCAAGAGGCAGAAGGGTACCATCAGAAAAAATAGTGTTTCTTTCATTTTTAACAGCCCAGGAAGCTAAAAAAATCAGCAAGCCCATTTGCTTCCCTATAAATGTGTGTAATATGCAATTTCAACATTCCAAACAACATATTAATCCTCTCTAACTGATGTTGCAACCTCCATGGAAAAGCAGCTAAGCCCATCACCATTTTAACTAATGTCTGAGAATCTGATTCCACCACAATCTGATTTGATGACAAACCATGCTGCAGAATCAATAATAATCCATCAAGCAGAGCCTTACATTCAGCAACCATATTTGAGCCCATCCCATAGTAGCAGGCAGCAGCAAATATAATTTCCCCTTTATCATTTCTCACCACTACCCCTCCACCTGATAATCCAGTTTTTCCTTTAGAGGCTCCATCAACATTAAGCTTCAGTATATTTGGAGGAGGAGAAATCCACTTGATCCATTTCACCTTAATGATTAAAGAAAAAGGATTCTGAATTTTTAGCTCACTTAATAACTCTTTACCCTTAATGTCATCAGCTGATCCAGGCTTTATATTAAAAGCCTGCCATTTCAATGCACTCAAAACTTGTAAGAAAATTGCATGGCCATTTAAGAACAATCCCTCAAATTTCCTCCTGCATCTCTCCTTCCACAGAGCCCAAAATATTAGCATAGTAACCCCCCTTATTAAAATATGACTAAGAGAAGGTGTTTTAAACCTTCTCAGCAATCTTAGAAATCTACATAAAGGAGATTCTCCAAGCAGAACATCAAAACCCATCATCACTGCAGTTTTCCTCCATACAGTTTGAGCCATAGAACAGTCAATGAAAATATGAGTAGAACTTTCCCCCTCTAATCCACACAATATACATTTACTTGCCATTGCCACCCCCACACTTTGAACTCTATCATCAGTGGTTAAAGCTTTTCTAAAAATTTTCCATGCACATAGTTGAGCACTTGGAAAAGTTTTTTGATTCCAAATTCCTTTTGCTATAGCAGACTGAGTGCCCTTTATCCTTATCTGTTCCCATGCAGACTTAACAGTAAAAGAGCCTGAAGTTGTATTCCTCCATATAAGTCTATCAGGGTGCTGAGATCTTACAAAAGTCACACTCTCAATCTCATAACAGAGTTGAGGACTAAGCCATTCAGCAACATCATTAAGCTGCCATTCAGATCCATTCCATAATTCATAAATCTTGGGAAAGAATAATGGAGGATTCACAATTCTCAGAATCAGTGGACCTTTGTCCAGCCATGAATCACACCAAAAATCAGTGTTATTTCCATCCCCAACAATTTTCAATGAGTGCTGAACTGTGAAGTTAAACCATGGTCTCAACATTTTAAAAGACTGCCCAGCCCCATTAATTCCACACCTTAGAATATGCTTCCCTTGGCAATATTTCTCTTTAAAAACTTTGGCCCACAAAGAAAAACCATTTAGAATCCCCCATACCTGTTTTATTCTGAATGTTGCTTGAACTTCCTCAAATTTCCTAATTCCTAGCCCACCTTCAGTTCTGGGCTTAGAGATATCATTCAAAGAGACCCAATGCCTCCTTTTGGAATCAATCTGACTAGACCAAATGAAATTAGCAATTAAAGAGTTCAACTTGTTTAGGATTCCTTTTGGGATATTCAGACAGGCCAAAATGTGGATAGGAATAGAACTGAGTACTGATTGGACCAGTACAATTCTCCCCATACCTGAAAGTAATCTGGCATACCACCCCTCAATTCTTTTCCTGAAGGCCTTAATTACCTCCTCAAAATAACATCTCTTTATCCTTCCTCTTATTATAGGACACCCCAAATAAGTAAAAGGACAATCCTTAATTGGGATTCCCACCACAGAATTCAGCCTATTTCTTCTAGCAAAAGATATCTGCTTAGAGCAGTACATAGCACTTTTCAGCTTATTAACCTTCTGACCAGAGCTTGCTTCATACATAGAAATAAAGTTCATCACATTCAGCACAGAGCTTTTGTTCCCCCTCAGAAAAATCAGAGTATCATCAGCAAACAACAAATGGCTAACAATTATTGTTCCTCTTCCAATATGAAAGTGTTTTACCAAATTCTGAGCATAAATGTTCCTCAGTCCTCTACTTAGCACCTCTTCAGCCAAGATAAACAATGAAGGAGAGAGAGGGTCTCCCTGCCTTAGCCCCTTGAATTAGCAAAGTAACCATATCTTTGGCCATTTAAACATATAGTAAAGAACTGGCTCTTCAAACAGTTCAAAATGATTTGATTGAACAAGTCAGAAAAACCAAAAGCAGCCAGAACCTTTCCCAAAAAATCCCATTCCATTCTATCATATGCTTTCATCATATCCAATTTCATAACCATATTCCCAAATTCAACCTTTCTATCTAATTCACCCACAAGCATCTGTCCCAAAGCCACACAATCCCCAATTCCTCTCCCTTTGACAAAGCCATGTTGCTCTTCAGAAATTAAAGCAGGAAGTAATGAGGACAGTCTTGTGTTCAGAAGTTTTGTAAAGATCTTGTATAAGAAGTTACATAAACTTATAGGCCTGAAGTCAGAAAATGAAGATGGATCCTCTTTCTTGGGAATCAGTACTAGTAAAGTAGAATTCACAGATTTTGGCATGATACCTCCTTTAAGCAGAAAATTAATAGCTTTTCCCAAATCTACTTTAATAACATCCCAGGCAAACTGATAAAACTTACCAGACATACCATCCGGCCCTGGAGCACTTTCTATTGCCATTGAAAAAACAACCTCTTTCAATTCCTCTAAAGTGGCTTCAGCAGTCAATTTCTCATTAACCTCCTGACTAACAATCTTAGGAATAACATCAAAGATATCATCATTGATGGTATGCCTCTCAGATTTATATAGATCAGCATAAAACTCCTCAGCAACCATAGCCACTTGTATATCTCCATACACCCAGACACCATCTTTATTTTTGATTCTAGAAACTCATTTCTGACAATTCTACTTTTTGCAATAGAGTGATAAAATCTGGTGTTCCTCTCCCCCTGAATAGCCCATCTTACATTTGACTTTTGCTTCCAATAAATTTCCTCTCTCCTTAACCAATCATCCATCTCACCTTTAGCATCCTCTAATTCAATGTTTTTTGAATCAGAGAAGGTTTGATCTAACTCCTGCTCAAGCAGACTGATTTTTTGTTCAAATTTTTTCAGCTTCTCAAAAAGATTTCCAAACACATCTTTATTCCAAATTTTCATGTGAGCCTTCAAATATTTCATCTTAATGAAAAAATTTGACATTGGATTATCTGAATAATAACCATTCCAGTTAGAAGTTATCAGAGCCAGAAAATTCTCATGATCACACCACATATCTTGAAATTTAAAATAGGAAATTCTCTTCTGGGTAGAAGTATCCATAATTATCAACAATAAAGGACTATGATCAGAGTTACCTCTTGCTAAGTGAGCCACTTCCAGACTGTCAAATCTCAGATTCCAGCAGGGATTAATCAGAGCTCTATCCAGCCTCTGTTTCATTCTGAAACCCCCATTTCTATTATCACACCAGGTAAATTTATTCCCAGTAAATCTAGCATCCAATAGGCCCCTGTGATCCAAAAAGTCACCAAATTCCTCCATAGATAAAAGAGAAGGAGAGGCTCCTCCCAATCTTTCAGCAGAGGACAAAATTGTATTAAAGTCACCCACAACCATCCAAGGGACATCAGGAGGGACATCAATATCCAACAGGTGTTCCCATAAAAGCCTTCTCATTAAAAGGTCACAGCTAGCATATACAATAGAGACCCAAAAAACAAGTGAATTCTTAAATGTTATTTCCACAGTCAATACTTGGCCATGCTCAAACATTACCTTCAATTTGATTCTCTCATCCCATAAAACCCAAATATTCCTTTCTGCTAAAGCATTAGAACAGAAATGCTCTAGGCCAATGCTCCTAGCAAAAGGAACCAGTTTGGACACCAACAGTTTAGGCTCTTGAATTGCAACAAGACAAACATCATGCAATTTAATGAGTTTCTTTAATCTCCTCCTCTTAGCATCTTTACCTGCCCCTCTCATATTCCATGATAGAAAATTAATCATAAATTCATAGAAGAGTGGACATCACTGGAACTAAATCCATTATCATCCTCATTTCCATCCAAAGAACTACCAGAATTATCAGAATCAACATTTACAACCTTCTGAGTTCTAGAACTGGCCTGATCAGAGTAGTAACCTTTATCTGGAGGTTCTCTTACTCTAACCAAACCATTCTGATCATCTAAAGACTTCTGGCTCCCTCTTCTAACTGTCATTCCATGTTCAACTAAAAAGGAAGAACCCAAGGATTGAGCATAAAGAGTTCTACACTCTCCAAGAACTTCCACTAGGCTGAGATCATTCATACCCTGATTAAGAGGAACTAAATTTTCCCCTATATTAACCTTGTTTCTTTCATTATCCCCCACATTAACCACCTCATTAGCAGAAGGCAAAAAGATAGGGGATGAAGAATAAGAAATCTCCAAGTTAGTACCTTCATGATCTGGCAGAATAGGAGCTTCCAATCTGATGTCAACATTATCAGTGCCATCACCATCTTGATTTCCACAATCAACAACCATTGGGGAATTATCAAGAGTCCCAACATCAACTCCCACAGCATCATTAATCAATTCAGCATTAACAATATTACAAACATTAATCATATCCTGTGGAACTGGTTCAGTAATCAATTCATCAGCAGCAGATGCTCCAATATCAGTACTCTTATCAGCACTGAATATCTGTCCCAATACAGCCATATTTCTACCATTTTCCATGTCCTCCATTCCGATCTCCCTTGCATTTCCCAAATCAACATCAACAGTTGTATTATTTGGATTTGCAGCATCATTAATACTCATCATAATAACAGAAGATAAACCATTTTCAATAACCTTTTCAGGTAAACTTTGCTGGAAATGTACAGGTAGATTTCTGCCATTATCCATTTCCTCCATTACAACCTCCTCATTCAGTACAGCAAAACTATTATCCACAGCAGTAGTTTGATTCATGGATTTCTGTTTATATTCCTTTCTGGGATGCACATTCAGTCCATCTATAACCACAGCTTTTCCTTTCTTTTTCCTCCATTCCTCATCATTGTTTAAAACATTTCCAGTTGTTTGCTTATTCTCAGAGGCATCTCCTTCCACTTTCTTCTTCCTTCTGCACAATATTTCATCATGCCCTTGCTTAAGACAAGCAGGACAATATTTATATTCCTTTTCATATACTATCCTCTGCCAACGACCACTAACTCCCCCCATGTCTAACTAGAATCTCCTAGGATTACTGGCCAGAAGATTCATTTCCACACAAGCCCTGGCTACACCAGGCCTAGAGAGATTTAGAGTAGCATTGTCTATCACCAAAATTCTACCAACTGGACTCAATATGTCCCTCAGACTCTCTCTATTAAACAGATGGATTGGAAGACCTGGCAAAGATATCCATACTGGTACAACAGGAGGTTCAATCCCAGGATAAAATTCTGGAAACCATTTGAAGAAACGAAAGAGGTAACCCTCAATGTATGTATTATCCTTTAGCCATACTTTTACATAATCCTCATACAGAGAAAACCTAATCAGTACATGCCTCGGATCAAGCACTCCTACAGAGAATTCCCCTTTCAATAACCATCTAGAATTAATAAACTCTTTTACCACACCCAGTGAAGGTCTACCATAGGCACATTTGCCAATAAGAGTCTGATTAAAACCTTTGGAAAGCTCCATAGTTTCAACAAGGGACCAATACATACCAGGTTCCCCTTTATTAAACACAACTCTCTTAGAAGGCTTCAGAGGATTTACAGCATTCAAGGAACCAAATAGAATTGGAGATGAAGGAACTTGAAAAGTAGAAGGATTCTGAGCATTCGATGTAACAAGAGGAACCTGAGAATCTCTTCCAGGAATCGGGATCTGAGTTTTTGGCAGAATTCGGTCTATCGAAGGATCTTGAGAAGATGACTTAGATGGAGGAATCAAAACAGAATGGGAATGCAGATTAACTCCTTGAGCATCAGCAGGAATGTGCATTCCTAATCCAGATGACGAACATTGATTATTTGTTGAAGATGACACAGCCGAAGGAAGAACAGAGGCGATCTGAACAGTCGGTGTATTTTGATTCAGCTGAGAAACCAGAGGCATAGTAACGGTGTTATTACATCCCAAAGGATCAACAAGTGTTAAGGAATTGATCTCTGAAGCAGCAGGAATTGTCAGAAAGTTTTCCACAGATGTAGTTTTCTTGAACAATGAGGCAAAATTTTTGGTAATGTCAGGCGATTTTGGGGGAATTTGATGAATTTCATGGCCAGATTTCATGCTATGACAATCAAAACAGTAGAAATTTCAACAAAATTACAAGAAATAATCAAAAATTGAGATAGAAATGGAGAAGATCTGAAAAAGAAAGAGAAAATTCTAGAGAAAAGTCAGACCTTCTCTCTCTAAAAAGAAATAACTGCCTCTCCTCCCTCTAAACCCTAAACCCTAAACCCTAAACCCTAAACCCTAAACCCTAAACCCGAAACCCTAAACCCGAAACCCGAAACCCGAAAACCCTAAAACCCGAAACCCGAAAACCCTAAAACCCGAAAACCCTAAACCCGAAAACCCTAAACCCTAAACCCTAAACCAACCCTTTATGAATCTATTTCAAACCCTCAAAGTTTAAGATTCATAAACGAACTCTAACTCATAAAACCAATTACGAAACTACATGTTGTCCAGATTTTTCAAATCAGTTTCTATAGGCTGGGGCTAACTTTCAAAAATCACCAAAACTCGTATTTATCTTCATTTTACTTGAAACCAAAACCAAACGAATCCTTTTTCAGTCTACATTATAACCTCAAAATCCCAGAATTATTAAATAATCGTAGCTTATGAAATGAATAAGAAACTCACCTACTGTCAGGTCATAATCATTTTTAGAAATTCACCAAAAATAGAGTTTTCATCCTTTTGGCATGAAACCAAAGCCAAAATAACCTTTATGAATCTATTTCAAACCCTCAAAGTTTAAGATTCATAAACGAACTCTAACTCATAAAACCAATTACGAAACTACATGTTGTCCAGATTTTTCAAATCAGTTTCTATAGGCTGGGGCTAACTTTCAAAAATCACCAAAACTCGTATTTATCTCCATTTTACTTGAAACCAAAACCAAACGAATCCTTTTTCAGTCTACATTATAACCTCAAAATCCCAGAATTATTAAATAATCGTAGCTTATGAAATGAATAAGAAACTCACCTACTGTCTAGGATTGACAGCACCACTCCTTCTTTTTCCTTTCGGTTTGAGCTCAAGAAAATACCCACCAAGACTTAATTTTCCCACAATCTCCCCTTTAGACTTTCGGTGAAATTCTTCATTTTTTGTACCCACACGTAGCCCTCGTCGTGTAGACCAACTTTAATTTTTGGTTCAAGCGATTCCGACCGACGTAGCCTAGCAGATCGACGGAAGAAAAACTTGAAAACTCTCTTTCTCTCTTCTCTTCCTCCAACGTCTGAAACCACTGAATATCAGAGATATTTCTGCTGAAATATCTGATATTTAGTCCTATTTATAATTTCCAAGGCTTGGCCCGAGTCGCGCCACGTGTTCCCCTTTGTCCGGGTCCGTTTTCGCCCCAAAACGATTAAATTTCGTACCAATTTAAGCTAAAAATATTTTATATGACATTTATTTAAAATATTTTTTTTAATTTCAAAATTTTTTATAAAAATTTCATTTTTTGAGGTCACCGGACACCCGTCACCTCGAAAAACGTAAAAAATCTGATTATCTCAGAATTCGACGAAATTTATTTGGGTAACTAGATTTCACGAGATGAATCCAACGGTGAGGTCCGTTTCATCATCCGAGGTCTAGAAAAATATCAGTTTTTTTTTAACCCACACTATAATGTCAAATTACCATTTTGCCCTTTTTAGAAAAAAATTAAATTTTTTTCTCGGGTTTCACAACTTTCCTCTATTGCCACATCCTTGCCAGAGTGTTCACCAAGGAGCACATTAAATTTGTTGACTCCTCCCTTTCATGCTTCACTTGAGTCTTTTAACTTAGAGTTTCCTTGGGTCACCTGGTGATTGTCTTTTAAATTGATTTAGGGCCTCCTTTCCTTGTTACTTTTTGCCACTCTTTTTCTTTCCCCTTTGGATCAATGATCTTCTTGATACGACCAGCTTTCTACTTTTCTTCCTCCTTTGGGTCATTCACCAGCTTTCCCACTATTTCCTCCCCTTCCCTTTTCCCTTTGCGACATTCCATCTTTTCATGACCTTGCTTCAAGCACCCAGCACAGTACTTTACGGATTTTTCATAGGTTATTTTCTTCCAGCGCCCACTAGTACCTCCAAAATCCAACCAAATTCTTAGGGGATTTTCCACTAGCAAGTTGACTTCATCACACACACGAGCAACCCTGGCCTTGTTAATTGCAGAGTAGATGAATCCATTACAATGATCTCCCAATGGGGCTTAATATATCTCGGAGGCTTTCCTTTTCGAACAGATGGATTGGCAAACCTAGGAGCGATATCCAAATAGGGACCATCGGCGGTTCAATTCTGGGCAAGAACTCCGGGAACCACTTGAATAACCTGAACAGAAATCCTTCAATATATGTTGCATCTTTCAGCCACGTTTTGGCATAGTCTTCATAAAGTTCGAAAATGATGAGGACATGCCTTAGGTCCAAAACCCCCAATGTGAAATCGCCCTTTGGCAGCCATCGAGTGGTTATGAATTCCCTGATGACCCCAATTGAAGGTTTCCCATAGGTGCATTTGCCTATCGTCTGGTGGAACTTTGTGGCTAGAGCTTGAGTTTCATCAAGGGACCAATAAATCCCTGGTTCGCCATTGTTATATACCACCCTTTTCGCTGGCCTGAGAAAAGAGGTTGAAGGAATCGGGGAAGAAAGGCCCTCAGTCGAGATAGAGTTTGCGATGGCTACCGAGAAGAAAACCGCTAGACACAAAGAAAAAGGTAGAGAGAAGTGAGAGCTTCTCTCTCTAGAAACAAAAACTGCCCTCCTAAACCCTAAACCCTCAACCCTAAATCCTCAACCCTCAATCCTAAACCTAAACCCTTTTTGTTTTTTTAAATAAAAATTTTATTTATTAAATGCAAAGATTACAAGAAGCAAAACAGTCACTGTTTTTAAGATAAAAACAATGACTGTGGAACATTTATCAAAAAAACAATACAAGGGTAAAAAAGTAATTCTATCAGTAGCCCCTTTGTACAGCTTCTTTCTTTCAACTGAAAAGTCATTCCCAGATTAAGGCAAAAACAGGCCAGCTGAATCACACAAGACCACAGCAGAACAATTGAGAGACTCCCATACCAGCTCAGCTGAGAGATTCCACCACCATTGGTTTATTAAAGCTTCAGTTGAGAGCCCACAGTCCACCACTAAACAGAGTCCAAACAGCCTGACAACTGGAAACCTAAACCCTAAACCCTAAACCCTCAACCCTAAACACTCTACCCTCAACCCACAACCATCAACCCTAAACCCTAAACCTTAAACTCTCAACCCTAAACCCTAAATCCTAAACCCTCAACCCTTTTTTTTTTGGGAAAAAGAGAGAAAATTTTATTTAATAAATGCAAAAATTACAAGAAGCAAAACAATTACTATTTTGAGATAAAAAACAGTAATTGTGGAACAATTAACAAAGGAAAACTATACAAGGGCAAAAAAGTAAATCTATCCGTAACAATCCCTTTATACAGCTTCTTCCTTCCAGCTCCAACTCCTTCCCAATGCTAGACAATGATGGACCAGCTGAACCGCAAAATCCAGTAGAATCCAAAGCCCAGCTGAAAGGCTCCACTCAAAACAAACCAGATGAAAAGAAAAGCAATTAATGGGCATAAAAAACCGCAGCTGAGAGACAGTAGATGAAGAGTCAATATCGCAGACAGCTTGACAGTGGTTCACTGAATGCAGAAGCAAAACTATTTTGAAACCCGCAGTCCATGCCTTAACTCCAGATTCAGAAAACAAAGCATATAAACCAACTCCCCAACTGGCATGCAGATACAGAACACCAGGCATAGGAACAGCCAGAATGCCACCTTTAAAAAGCAGCATTTCCACAGATAAAGCACCCACATTCCGCAAACATGAAGTGCAAAAGAGATGAAGTGGAGATAAGAAAAAACGAGGAGAGAAGCCCAAAAGCCATCAAGAGAAACGAAGATGAGAGTCCTGGGAAAATACCCCCAAAATTCCCCATGAACCTGATACACCTGATGCGGCAACTCCTGCTTATGTGGACAGAGAAACCAGAGGACAAACATCAACCAAAGGATCCTTAGAGAAAACTTTGACATCTGTGTCCCCCACATTATTTCAATGTTCTGCTACACGATCTTTTGAATATAAATCCACAGTGAATTATCACCATCACCATAGCAGCATCATCTTGAAATTCTCCAAAATCTGCTAACCAAGCAGAACAGATAACAAACACAGCCAGTAGGCTTAATCCAACACAGAGCAAAATCATCATAACAAATCCACACAGAGCAGCCACCAACAATAAGTCATTTTAATTGCCATAGAAACAAAATAAAATGACCAAATAATCATCAACTTACTCCATGCCTTTGCTCACATACCACCCTTTTAATCAACCTGACAGTAGGCAAACTATTTTGATCTTGGTATAAGAGTAACCTTCCAGCAGTTGGCAACATATCAGTTCCAGAAAAATCTAAAGATTTACCAGAATGCACAGCAAAAGAGGCTAAGAAATCTGCAACAATATTGGCCTGCCTATATACATGCCTTAATTGATACTTAAGTCTTGCTAGAGCCTGTAAAATTTATTCCATAATACTCTGCAACCTCCAATGGATATCTGCTTTTCCCAAAATCATCTGAATCAGATTCAATCCAAAATTCTTTACCCTGTAGCTCATTTCTCAAGATCAAATTCAAACCATCAAGCAAAGCCTTACACTCAGCTTGCATGTTTGAACCTATTCCATAAAATGCAGCAGCAGCCAAAATAATATGCCCCCTTGAATCCCTCAACACCATTCCTCCTCCAGATAATCCAGTGCTTCCTTTAGAGGCACCATCCACATTTAGCTTCAGCATGTTACCAGGAGGTGGATCCCATTTTACCCATATCACCTTAGTTACAACAAAGAAAGGGGAGCCAACTTTCAAATCATTCAACATATCTTTTCCTCTTTGATCCTCACCTCTGCTAGGTTTGATGAGATAAGCTTGCCACCTCAAAGCATACACCACTTGTAAAAAAACAGCATAAGCATTTAATTTTAGACCCTCATACCTCCTTCTACATCTCTCTTTCCACAAGGCCCAAAAAACCAGCATAGGCACCCCTCTGATCAAAACATGACTCAGAGATTGATGCTTAAATCTTCTTATCAGTTTCAAAAATCTGCATAATGGAGATTCTCCTACCAGTATATCAAAACCCATAATAGCAGCCAATCTGCTCCACACAGCATGAGAAATAGTACAACTAATAAACAAATGAATAGCAGACTCCTCCTCCATGCCACATAGATCACATTTACTAACCATTGCAACTCCCACACTTCTCACCCTATCATCAGTAGTCATAGCAGCTTTAAAATTTTTCAAAGTGCAAAACTGTGCACTAGGAAATGTTTTTTGTTTCCATATACTTTGAGCTATGCTACTCTGCACACCATTTTGCCTGACTTCCTGCCATGTAGATTTCACACTAAAACTTCCAGAATTAGAAAATATCCATACTCTCTTGTCAGGTTTATCAGAGCATTTCAACCCAGCATTTCTAATCTCATCAGCTAACAAAGGAGAGAGCCATTCAGAGATATCATCAAACTGCCAACCACTACCATTCCACAATTCACTAACTTTGGGAAAATACAAAGGAATCCCCTCAAGTCTGAGAAGTAAAGGACAATTATCCAACCAAGGATCACACCAAAAGTCTACATTCTGACCATCTCCAACTATCACCTTAGAACTTTGCAACACAAAATCAAACCAAGGCCTCAAAGCCTTAAAGCTTTAACCTGCTCCAGAATTCATACACCTCAGCATGTGGTTTCCTTTGAGATATTTTTCTCTAAAAACCTTAGCCCATAATGAATGACCATTGTAAATGCTCCACACCTGTTTGATCCTGAATGCAGATTGAAGATCACCAAAACTTCTCAATCCCAGGCCCCCTTCAAATCTGGGCAAAGAAATAGTGGCTAAAGATACCCAATGCCTCCTTTTAGCATCCAGCTTACCAGACCAGATGAAACCAGAAATTAGGGAATTCAGCTTATTCAGAATCCCTTTAGGAATATTCATGCAGGCTAACATATGTAATGGGATAGAGTTAAGCACTGATTGAACCAGCACCATCCTTCCCATACCAAACAACATCTTAACATACCAGCCTTCAATTCTACTTCTAAAGCTCCTCACCATCCCTTCAAAATAGCATTTCCTCACTCTTCCTCTTATTATAGGACATCCCAAATAAGTAAATGGGCAGGACTTAATGGGAATACCCACCACAGCAGCCAACATATTTCCTCTGCTTAAAGAAATTCTCTTGGAGCAGAACATGGAGCTTTTAGATCTATTCACTTTCTGACCACAAGAAGATTCATAAACACCAATAAACTCCAATACATTCAACACAAAATTTTTAGTCCCTCTGATAAAAACCAGTGTATCATCAGCAAACAGCAAGTGACTGACCAATGTAGTCCCTCTGCCAATATGGAAATGAGTTACCAATTTCTACTCATATATATTCCTTAATCCTCTGCTCAGCACCTCCTCAGCAAGAATGAATAAGGTAGGGGAAAGCGGATCCTCTGCCTTAAACCCCTAGAATTAGCAAGGTAACCATACCTCTATCCATTCAAGCAAATTGAAAAGAATTGTGTAGACAAACAATTCAGAATAATTTGGGTGAACAAGTTTGAAAACCCAAAACAACTTCAAAACTTCAAAAGAAAATCCCATTCCAGCCTATCATAGGCTTTCATCATATCAAGTTTCAAAACCATGTTTTCTCCCTCCACTTTTCTATCCAGTTCACCTACCAACAATTGCCCGAGTGCCACACACTCACCAATACCTCTCCCTTTAACAAAACCATGATGTTCCTCAGAGACGAGTGCCACACACTCACCAATACCTCTCCCTTTAACAAAAACATGATGTTCCTCAGAGACCAATTTAGGAAGAAGAGTAGAGAGTCTAGTATTAATCAGCTTGGTAAAAATCTTATATAAGAAATTGCACAAGCTGATGGGTCTAAAATCAGAAAAGGAAATAGGATTATCTTTCTTAGGGATCAAGACCAGCAAAGTAGAATTCACTGATTTAGGCATTATTCCTCCTTTCAGAAGAAAATTCACAGCATTCAACACATCCAACTTTATAATTTCCCAAGCAAACTGAAAAAATCTACCAGATAAACCATCTGGACCAGGAGCACTTTCAGCTACCATAGAGAAAACCACATCCTTTAGTTCCTCCAAGAAGACCTCAGCAGTCAGTCTTAGGTTTTCCTCATCACTGACCAAGTTAGGAATCACAGAAAAAATCTGTTCATGAAGTGTATGCTCCTCTGACTTATATAATTCAGCAACCTGAGCAATCTCCTGGTCCCCTTGAACCCAAATCCCCTCCCTGTTTTGAATTCTAGAAACCTTGTTTCTCAGAATCTTACTCTTAGCAATGGCATGAAAAAATTTTGTATTTCTCTCCCCTTGTATAGCCCACCTGATATTGGACTTTTGCTTCCGGTAAATTTCCTCTTTTCTCAATAAAAAATCCAGCACACACTTATGTTCCTCAAGTTCCATAGCTTTAGCTAGAGAATAAACTTGATCTAAATTCATCTCAGCCAAACAAATTTTCTGCTCCTAAGCTCTAATATTGTCAAAAAGGTTGCCAAACACCTCTTTATTCCACAATTTCATATGTGCCTTCAAATATTTCAGCTTAATAAACAGATTAGACATGGGATTATTAGAGTAAAACCCATTCCAATTAGCTGAAATTAAGCCTAAGAAACCTTCATGTTCACACCACATCCTAAAATCTGAAATATGAAATTCTCCTCAGAGCTGGCTCATTCATAATTTTCAAAAGCAGAGGGCAATGGTCAGAAGCACCTCTAGCTAAATGAATGACCTCCAAGCCTCCAAACCTCATATTCCAATATGCATTGATCAATGCCCTATCTAGTCTCTGCGACATTCTCACACACCCTTGTCGATTATCACACCAGGTAAACTTGTTGCCATTAAAACCCCCAACCATTAGGCCACTTTAATCCAGACAATCCCCAAAATCCTCCATTGCAACTAAAGAAGGGAAAGCACCCCCTCTTCTTTCCTCTGAGCAAAGAATTGTGTTGAAATCACCAACCACAATCCAAGGCATAAGAAAAGGAAAATCAACCTCAATCAAGTGTTCCTATAAAGACCTTCTTAGCACAAGGTCACAACTAGCATAGACCACTGAAAACCAGAAAGTTTCATTATTCAAAAAAGTCAATTCTGCAGTCAACACCTGAGCATGCTCAAATAACACTTTCACTTTCACTCTCACTTTATTACCCATAGAAGCCAAATGTTCCTCTCTGCTAAGGAATTAAAACAGAAGAATTTCATTCCAATATTCTTAGCAAATTTATACAATTTGGACACAAGCAATTTAGGTTCTTGAATTGCAACTAAACAAACATCGTGGATTTTAATAAGCTTCTTTAATCTCCTCCTTTTGGCAGCTTTTTTTGCTCCCCTCATATTCCATGAAATCACATTAATCATGAATGCATAGAAAAAGACGCTCCGCTGGAACTTAATCCATTGCACCCATCATCTTCATTAAAGGAACTATCAGAGATATCCGAATCAACATTTACAATCCTCTGAGTTCTAGAACTGGCCTGATCAGAGTAATAACCCTTATCTGGAGGCTCTCTCTCCCTTACCAGACCATTCTGGTCATCTAAAGGAGCCTCAGATCCTTGCCTTACACCAAAATCATGTTCCACTAAGAAAGAGGAACCCAAGGATTCGGCATAAAGAGCTCTACACTCCCCCAACACCTCCACATTCTCATTAACATTAGTAGCAGGATTAACAACAACATTTTCTCCACCAATCCCCTCATCAACAACAAAAGGTAATACAATAGGAGAAGAGAAGGAAAATACCTCCAAATTAGCACCAGCAGAAGGAGGATCAACAAACATTTGATTCCCAGAATTTATAGGAGACTGAATCCCCTCTAAGCTGGTATCAGCACCAGTAGGACCAACAGTGACTTGATCCTCAACACCAACTAACCTCTCCAAACTAGCACCATCTTCAGGAGGAATAGCATGTACCACAGAGTCAGGAATAACAGAAACTCCTTCCTCAATATTTTCTCTTTGATTAGCAGTTATCTCTCCTGGCACAACACCTACACTTATATTCTCATTCCCTTGTTGTGCCTCTTGATCACATTCCCCATTTACATTAGAAGGTTCTCCCAATTCTATATTCATAACCGGGATTCTATCCTGCTGATCCTCCAAAACTTCAAATCTATTGCCCACTACAACTTCTTGAAAAATAGTCCTCTGTTTAATAGGAATTTTACCTTTATTTCGGCGAACCTCAATCATTTTATCTCTCCCAGTATCTCTATTTTTAGCCTCAGAAATCACCTTATCAAGCCTCTTTCCTTCCGTCTGAGACAAGATAACATCACTCCTTCCTGCTTTTTCTTTCGGCATACAACAGAATCATGTCCCTGTTTCAGACAATTAGAACAATACAAAACATTTTTCTCAAACACAATCTTCTGCCATCGACCACTCTGGCCCCCTATATCTAGCCGCAGTCTCCTAGGGTTATTAGCCAACAGATTGACCTCTACACAAGCTCTAGCTATCCCAGGTCGAGCTAAATTCAATGTAGATTTATCAATAACCAAAATACGACCAACAAGGCTTAAGATATCCCTCAAACTATTCACATTAAACAAATGAATGGGGAGACCTGGCAAGGAAACCCACACTGGAACAACTAGTGGCTCAATACCCAGAAGAAACTCTGGGAACCATTTAAAGAACCTAAATAGAAAACCTTCTATATAGGTAGTGTTTTTGAGCCACTTATGAACATAATCTTCATACAATTCAAAACAAATTAAGATGTGTCTAGGATCAGGGACTCCAACATGAAAATCACCTTTTGGCTTCCATCTAGTAATGATAAACTCACGAATTACGCCCAAAGAAGGCTTACCATATACGCATTTCCCAATCAGAGCTTGCTGGAATCTTAACGACAACTCCTGCGTCTCTTCAGATGTCCAATAGATTCCAAGTTCTCCTTTATTATACACTACTTTCTTCACAGTCCGCAGAACATTCGATGTACCAAAAAAATCTTTCACAGCATTCATCACATTCATCGCAGATCCAGAAACATTCGGAAATTTAGAACCATCAGATTCAATTACTTTCTCACCACCAGGCAAAGGTATTTGACCAATAAACATAGTCTGATTATTCATAGAAGGAGGATTCGAAGGAATTCGAACCAAAGAAGGAACTTGAGTAATTGACAGGAAACGAGTAATCAAAAAGAATTTCAAGAACCGAAGAGGTTTGAGCAATCGAAGGAACAGAAGGAATAGAAGGAGGCATCACACACAATTCCTCACCACCAGCAAGATTCACAAAAGATCCCAATCCAGTAACAGAACTGAAACCAGAGTTCATAGAAGTAGAAATTGGCTTGAATAAGGAAGCAAAATTACGTGTAATATCTAGAGGTTTGGGTGGAATTTGTTTATGATTCTGATCTGGATTCATATTAAGACAACAATAATCCAGTAATTTGGGCACAAATCAATGACAAATTAAAGGAAAAGAAGAAGAAACAAAGTCATACATAAGAAGTTTTCTATAGAGAAGTCATACCTTCTCTCTCTAGAATAGAATAAACCCTAAACCCTAAAATTCTAAAATCCTAAACCCTAAAACCCTAAACCCTAAAACCCTAAACCCTAAAAGCCAAAAACCCTAAATCCTAAACCCTAAAAGCCAAAAATCCTAAAATCTTAAACCCTAACCCCTAAACCCTAACCCCTAAAACCTAAACCCTAAAATCCTAAACCCTAAATCCTAAACCCCTAAACCCTCATGGTACCAAATATGGGGGAAGGAATCAATGAATGCAAACGAAAGAATTGGTATTCTTAAGAAAGCTCATCATACCTGCGATATCCCACCTCACTTGGGATATTTGTCAAGAGATGGGAAATCATCCAGCGATTGCATTTATAAAGTAGGTTCAGTAGAGCCCTGCTTGACAGCTTACTACTTCCACCTGGATTTTTAATTGCTTTTTCGTATTATATCAAAAATTGCATTATCATTTACTATTTTTTTAATTTATAGTTACAAATTATCCAATTTAAAATTAATGGCTAAGATGGATGAAGGTACAATTCATAAAACTCTCATTCACACTTGCTGCATCAGAAAGGTGTTGCTCCAACACCCAGAAATATGGCAATCAATCTCTCATATCTGAAGCCTTGAAAGAATGTAAAATCTCCAGAAATATAGCAATCTATCATATCTCTATCATGAAATTCACTACATCTATATTCTGATCCTCAAAGGCTGTCTAGTAATCAAAACAGGACACAAAAACAAGTATCAATATCCATCCCAAGTATAGCCAATTGTGGAATTGCTATGTCAGGATGCTTCCATAGTTCCATAGAAAATATAAGAACCACCAGCCACTGATGGGGAGCAGTTACCAGAAGAAAATCTGGCATTCCAACTGTATTCAAATACTAATTCTATTAAAACATCTTATCGAACTTATTTTCTAGATTTGTACTACCACAAACAAACTACACTTCATTGACCAATGATTCTCTTGGTTCTAAGCCACCTCCCTTCATCTCATAAAGTACCTTAACAGCCTCAATGCAACATCCATGTTGTATGTAAGTGTTAAGCATTGCATTCCAACATGCAGCATTTTTCTTTACACCATTCATCTCAAACATCCTTCTAGCATCTCTCACAAGCCCAAATTTCCCATACATGTCAACCAATCCGCACTGCACAACTTTTCAAATTAACCCCTAATTTTATCGCATTGGCATGGACTTGATGACCACAGTATCCATCATCCCTCAACTTTCCACAGGCCTTGAGAACACTAGAAAACGTAAAGCTATTCTTCTTCACTCCTTCCCTCCCCATTCCTTACAATAATTGGCAATATGAGCTGTCCAAACAACAATGTTTCATCCAGAAGTTTGATCAAAAACAAAGTCAGCACCTTCTAAGCATCCCAAGTTCCCGTAAAAGCTAACCAAGGAGCTGTTCAAAAACAATCATTGGAATAGCCTGCCTTCATTATCCAACCATGTATTTGTCTCCCAAACTCCAAGTTCATTGTACTAACGTATGCCTGTAAAATGCATACCACCATCCATGAAACCAGAAATTTGAGAATTTCTTCATTACAATGGTATTGGTATTTGTGTTGCATTTTTATGAACAAACATATAGTTTCTTCAAACTTTTCCTCATCCACATAAGCGAAAATCATTGCAGCCCAAGAGTTCAAATCCTTAATGGGCATTCTATCAAACAATTGGTGGGCATTTTCTATAAAACCACAAGACAAATACATAATCAAGAGGTGGTTAAGCAATGGCAAATGGTGGCGAATACCACTTTGGTTGAGATGGGAATCTAGTTCCATGGCTCTATTAAGGTCTCCGGTTGCAATGCATTCTTTGATGAGGGAAATGTAGATGTCTTTGGATATGGGAAGGTTCAAGTTGTTCATCAAATGCAAAATGACTGAGGGGGTGGTGCTTTTCTTGGGGGGTGATTTGATGGGTTGGGGTTGTTTGTACTAGGGTTCGAGTAGAGGCAACTGAATTGAAATTGAAAGCTTAGAGAGAGAGGGACGATGGGTGCTTTGTTGTCCAAATTTGATATTGACAATTTACGTGCAAGTATACATGACCAACAAGTAATAAAATAATAAGTAAAGTACCGTTTCCCCGGAGAATTATTGCTAATAATATCCAAGTATTAACTTTGTATCAATTCAATTTATTTAAACAATTGGAATTAAACTATGGAATTACTAATTTAAAATTAAATCTAAACTTAATAATTAAGGGTTAAATTTACCGGATAAAAGAAGTTAAGATTAAAACTTCTCCTAATGCTTTGTATAAACATCTCTTTCTAGTTAATTGATCAAAACAAGTTGTTAACAGATAACTCAAAGTTATTTTTCAAACCCCTTCCGACAGTTAGATAAAAATATCTATCACAACTAAATTACTATATTCTTATGTAAAATAATTTAGAATAGATTCATTAAGTTTAGAGTCTCATAATAGTTACACACGACATATAGGTATATTTATATCTTATACACAAATTCAACAATTCAATCCTAAGAAGAATTAACCAGATGCATGTCATCATATTCAGATCCAAACTTAGAATTCATCTTTCAATTTTATCTAAGTTATCAAATTAATTGTTAGTCACACAATCATATATTAAGCACAAAATATGACAAACAACTCATGTATGATCAATAAAACTAGAAACGAGAGTAAATCAATTTAACTAAACATCAGGTTTCATTGCAATCTTAATAAGAATTTAATTCATAATGTAATTGAAAAATATCATTATCAAATTAAACAATATCTCAGAAAATTAAGAAGTAAAATTAAGAGAAAAGAATAAAAACTTAGTTGCAATCTTTAATCCTTCTCTAGCCTTCAAGTTCAATCTTCTTCGTGTCACTTCCTTTGATCATTGTCTTCAATTTTCTTTTAATCCTTGGTCTTTTCTTATGTTAGCAGCCCCCAAAATCAGTATATATCAGTCCCAACTCAAACTCTAGCATATATGCATCATTGGGATTCAATTTCAAGTCAAAATTCGCGTCCAGCGCCAACACAAGTGCCTAGGCGCTGAATGGACAATATGTGGGTACAGGAGCACTGAAAAGGCGATGGGTCTGTGCTTGCCTTTTTTTAAGCCTTCAGCTCCCTAATTGCTTAGCCTTCAAAAATTCAACACTTAGGCTCCAAATTGACCTTGTTTTCTTCCAAAATGATCTTGTTTGCTTTCAAATGATGATTCCTACCAAATAATATCAAAACACACAAAACAAATAAAAAAGAATATAAAATAATTGAAAACTTACACTTTCATCAAGCCGAAAATACTCAATTCGTAGGTATAAAATTCACTCATTAAATACCTCCAAACTTAAATTTTTACTTGTCCTCAAGCAAAATACTAAGAACAAAAATCACAAAAATTAACCCTAACAACCAGCTACTCAAACAATGGATTAATATGAATCTAAATAATAGCCCCCAAAAAGTTACTACAAATAATAATTCACGAAAAATTTCAAAATAGTGCAAAGTCTATCAACTCAACATAGTTTTACCTCCGCTCATGACCCTTTAAATACATGTATATATCCGAACTATCCTGCTAGTCATCACCCAAATATATTTACATAATCAAATACTTCATAGGAGATACTCAATATCAACTCTATGAACTTACGTTTCACATCAACCTCCGCTTATTAAGGCAACCATATAACTAGAAGGTCAAAAGATTTTTTTTTTCTCTTTTCCATTCGTTTGATGAGTGCATTTTATGCTCCCTCTCACCTCCTATTGAGCGAGTGCGTTTTACGCTCTATCTCGCCTTTTCTTAAACGAATGCGTTTTATGCTCCATCTCATTTTTAACATGTGTTTATGAGTGAGTGCGTTTTACGCTTCATCTCTACTCACCACATGCCCCCTTTCTTATTTCTTATTTTCCTATTTTTTTTTCATCTAACTCATGAAGGATCAAATCAAAATAATTTTCAAAAACTCACTTGTTTTTTTTTTCTATACTAAACCATCATAACCAAGATTTCCCCCAAACTTATATGAATACCTCAATTTGCTTTGAATAATGCTTAAATAAGTTTTTAAAAGTTTCAATGATATATCCCACAAGCATTTAACCAAATAAATTCTCTAAATAATAACTAACCAAACAGATGGATATGTGCTCATGAATGAAAAGATCACAAACAGTGTAAAATTAACTAGTATGTCAAACTACAGACTCAACATGTTCATCAATTTTCCTTAAATTGACAATTAATTACATTCATCATTGGTCATGATCAAATTCAATCAACTCTTTGCTCAATTCGTACTAAAACATGTAATCTACATGCAAACATGTTATCTAAATGCATACCCGCTAATGCAAATGCAAACAATAAAACACCTCCAAACTTAAACTAAACATTGTCCTCAATATATAAAGTAGGAAAAATTAAGACAGAGGACTCTCCTGAGACTTCACTAGTTCTCTAGTTCGCATCATCGTCAGCGTTCACGTCGTCCGCTGAGTCAGGAGTGTATTCGGGAAACATAGATGGGTTGTTCTTTGCTCCCAGTAAGGCTTTGTGTGTGTTTCAACTTTATATTCAATCATTGGGACCTGTAAGCAATTGACATACCAATTAAAATACACTAACCAACTAACTACATTATTTTTTATAAAAAATTAAATTAAAATAAAATAAAATAAAACTTAGAAACTAAAATTTGGGTTGCCTCCCAATTAGCGCTTGTTTTATTGTCTTCAGCCTGACTACTTCTTGTTTCATCTCAGGTCGACATGGGTAATTGAGGTCTTTTTATGATCAATGTCGTCGCCCCAATATTTCTGCAGTCTTTGCCCATTCATCTTGAAAGTTCTCTTCAAGTTAGCTTCCTCAACTTCGCCTGCTCCATGTGGGAACACCTCCTCTTTATATAGCTTAACGTTCTCAAGTGGATCTGAAGTACAACTTCCTATGAATACCCCATTCATTGTCTTTTCAACCAAATCCACCCAAAAATATTCTTCCACTTCCTTTGAAAATTTCATAGCTGAAAATACATTGAATGTAACCTCTTGATCTTGAACTCGCATAGTTAGTTCACCTTTTTGTATATCGATAAGTGTTATTCCCGTTGCTAAGAATGGTTGCCCAAGAATAATAGGTATTTTCTTATCTGCCTCACAATCTAAGACTATGAAATCAGCTGAAAAAATAAACTTATCCACTTTAACTAGAACGTCCTCAATTATACCCCTTGGATAAGTGAGCGATCTATCTGCAAGCTGCAATGTAACATTAGTCGGCTTCACTTCCTTCAAACTCAATTGCTGATAAATTGAGAGCGACATTAAGTTAATACTAGCTCCCAAATCACATAATGCTTTCTTGAAAAAATGGCTGCCTATTGTGCATGAAATTGTAAAGCTACCAGGATCTTTAAACTTTGGTAGTAGCTTCTTTTGAAGAATAGCACTGCACTCCTCCGTAAGTGGAACTGTCTCAAAATCGCCTAGTTTTCTCTTCTTTGACAAAATTTCTTTCAAAAATTTCACATAGTTAGGCATTTGCTCCACTACTTCTAGGGGTGTTCAAATTTTCGACCGGCCGCAAGTTCCTACCCTACACTACCTTACTGAACGGCTAGCCGCAAAAATCGGGTAGGAATGCGGAAGAGTTTTTGATCTTCCGATAATTTTTAGGTAGGAATACGAAATAGTCATCTATGTTCGCATTCCTATCCTACCCTACCCGTAATAATTTTTTATATATATATATATATATATATATATATAAACTAATAAAAATCCTAAACCCTAACCACAGGCAGAGCAATTATGATTTTAATATATTTCATGTGGTTTGAAGTTTAAACTTAGATTAATTGTTATTGTATTTGTGTAACAATTATGGTAGATTGATGTTCATATTTTCTTTTGTTTTATTATAATTCTTGTTGTAGTTGTTTTAGATTTTAGTGTTAATTGATTTATAGTGTTGTTAAATTGGTGCATGTTATTTAATTAAATTGTTAAAATGATTCAAAAATTAATTGTTACAAAAATATTTACCCGATTTTCTATTCGACTTCCTACCCGATTAATCGGGTAGGAAGTCTGGTAGGAATACTACACTTGTCGAGTAGGGTAAGTCAAGAAAAAATTCTTCCGCAAAGTATCGAGTAAGAAGACGAAATAGTATATTTCCTACCCGTAGGGTAGGGTGAACACCCTTAACTTCTTCTACGAAAGGGATATTTATTTGGAGCTTCTTAAACACTTCCATGAATTTAGAGAACTATTTATCCCACTTCTGTTTCTGCAAACGTTGTGGAAACGGCACGGGAGGCACAATAGGACTCTGCTTACCTCCATTAGAACATGCAACTGGATCTTCTTCTTTCTTTTCATGTTCCACATTTTTTCTATCTTTTATTTCACCCTCACTATCATCTCCATTTGATTATTTTGGAGTTCCACCAACAACCTCAGGTAACTCTTTTTTGCTTCGTAATGTAATAGCATTGCAGTGCTCCTTACCTTCCTTTTTGTTGGATTGATCTCTGTATCACTAGGTAGAGTGACTTGAGGTCGATTGTTAAGGGCATTAGCGAGCATACCCATTTGGTTTTCTAGGTTTTGGATTTATATTTCCATACTGTTCATCGTTGTCTTATTTTGTGATATGTACCTGGAAAGTAGCTCCTCCAAATTTGACTTATTTCGCTACTGTGGTGGAACTTGATTCTAAAAGCCTGGTGGGTATGATTGCGTTGGAGTAGAAGTTTGGGCTTGATTATTATTCCAAGACAAGTTCGGATGAGTCCTCCAACCAGGGTTATAATTATTGAAATTGTTGCTATATTGCTACCTATTGTGGTTACCAATATATTGTACCAACTTTGGA